CAACTCGACTCGACTCCTGGCATTCTGCTAAGCGAGTATTAGTGGAAATTTAATATTGCAATTAATACAGCAACAAAGTGTGCATTGCATATTAATAAGTTAGTTTTCTGTCGCTTCTAGTTTGAGTTTGAGTGAGTGGCCCAAGTTGGTCTGGGATTCGTACTGCTCCTGCCAGGAGCGCCTGGTGCTCCTCATGTGCTCATGTGCTCATGCTGGATTAGTGCACTGGAGGGCAAACATTTTGTGTGGCCGTAAAAGCCAAAGTTACAACCCCATAAGTTGGCTTAGGGTTGAAAGAACGGGGCCACCGCCACACAGCGTGTTTGGTTTTAATGGCTTGCCAGCCAGTCCGTCAGTCAGTCACACATTCAATATTCATATTCATATACCCGAGCTCTGGGGGCTCTCTGGTTCTCTGGCTCTCTTCCTCTCTCTCTCTCTCATTTAAGCTTTTAATGATTTCCAAAGTTCTGTCCGCGAATAACAGAATGAAAAAAAAAAAAATAGCAGTGAAAAAAGAGGAACTTTCACATTTAATGCGCTTAGCCCTGGCCCGTTTAACTGCAAAAACTTACGAGTACTTCGTACATTTCTTTTCCTTCTTTTGACTGTGATTTAGTTTTGGAAAATCTCTTTTTTTTCACGCGCCGCCTGCTATTCAAAAAGGAAAATCATTCTAGCAGCAGCAGCGGGCGAGCGACAAAAAACTATTTGTGCAAACAACAAAGAAAACTTGCGAGCGCAAAAAAAAAAGAAGGAAAATCATCATCATCAGGGGGGAAGAGCAGGAGGAAGCATCTGAAGGAACATCGCAAGTGCAGCCAACTACAAAAGCGCAACAAAAGCAATTTAAATTTAGCCAGAGGCATTTTCGCGAGCACAGTACAGAACAGAGAGCGGAAAAGTGCCGGAGAAGAGCGGAGGCGGTGCGGCTGTCCACAAGCGGGTAGGAGGCGAGCACAAAATTTCATTTCATTTGTCGAGCAGCGCGCGAATCGTTTTTAGTCATAACTTTTTAATTTGTTTGTCAGCGACAGGCAACGGAACATTCCCCAAGTCCAAATCCAAGCCCAAGCCAGAGCCAGAGCAGAGGCCACCGCCTCTACAGCAGAGAGTATGCCAAAAAAGATATGTATACCAAGTCTGAGAGTCCTAGAGTCTTAGAGTGGGATAGAGTCTGTCTGATTAGCGCAATTGTAAGAGCTCCCCAGACGGACACACGCACAGGCCAAGGGACAGATTTTGGTAGCCCCAAAAAGTATGCTATCAAAATCGATTCTAAAAGGATGAAGGAAAATCATAATCATGAAGGAGAGACCTATAAAACATACAGAAGACGAAGCATTAGATACACTTGTAGGTCCTAACTGCTTGAAGATTTATTCTTTGAGCAGCCAAAGAGCACAAGCGAGTGTGTGCCACAGAATCCAATAGCAAAATACACGCTTTACGCTTAACGTGCCACATTTCTGCTTGATTTAATCTAGTTTTGTTTTTTTGTTTATTTAAAAGACAAAACATCTTCACAAGTCCCTAATACCCTCTGCACAAAGTAAGAGCATCACAATGCTCTCTATCTGCTCTACTCTGCTCCTGCTGTGGCTCTACTCCTGCTGTGGCTCTGCTCTGGTCTGCCCTCTCAAGCAGCATTTGATCAATGCAAAAATGTGTGCTTGGTGTACATGTCTCTAGGGTTGATTTATCTATTTACTCGACAGCCTCGTCATCAGAGTGGAAGCTCCTTTTGGGAGCTGTCAATATTTAAAACGTTGTCCTTGCTGTGTCCTGTGCTACAAGCAGCAGCAGCAGCTGCTGCTCCCCACTCAGAACCCCACCCCCACCCTGGCTGTGCCGCTGCTGCTGCGTGCTTAACAAGAGTTTATTGAATTTTATTTTCTCATCTCAATTTGATGGCCGTCGCCCCTGCTTATTTTTGGGGCAACATATTGCTTGTCCTATTCCTTGACATACTTTTCTTTTCTGGCAGGACTCGCCTGCATTTAAATTTCAAATTGTTTTATTGCCGGACCCCCCCGAAAATAATTGAAAATTTTTGTAGATAGAAAACACTTCTTTTTTTTGTTCCGCTTGTCCGCTTGTAAATCGCTTAATATACAAAAAAATAAAATAAAAAAATTTGTTATAAATTTCCACGGCGCGAACAGAAAACTTTTCCGCCGTGTTTCTCCCATGTCCGTGTTCAAGTTTTTCGATTACGGATTAATGCAATATTTTTTTTATATATTATTATTATTTTGTTTTTTTTTTTTTTTTTGCTGACCCCTTCCCTCCCTTGCTTGTTTGTTTGACTTGGATGCTACGCTGGCTTGAAAGTTTGATGAATTTTTTAAATTTAAAAAGTTTATTTGTGTGTTTGTAAGTTGGCCGAGAGGGCAGAGCAGAGCAGAATCCCAGCTTATTAGAAGTGCAGGACGACTCCCACTCGCCGCCACTGCCACTGCCACAGACGACACTTCAAAGGCTGCCCACATCCAAGTTTTCCTACGGCCACCCCGCCCCGCTAATATGTTTATTTGAATTGCTTTTCCCTCCACGCAGATTTTCCTAATTTGAAAACATTTTCTATTTACCCTCCGCCAGAATCTTTTATGTCTCTCTGGCACTGTCAATATCCTTATTTATCTGTGGTTTTACTTGTGGCGGGGGCTTTATTAGCACCTTTGGCGGTTGTTTGTATCCCCCTCGGATCCAGGGGGCTCTATTTCATCCGGTATTTGCTTAGGCAGTTGCCTGTTGACAAAAAATATATTTGCCAGCACATGATGTTCCGGAAAAGAGCCAGAAAGGGAGGCCCGGCCCCCCACCAACCAGCACGTCCCCTGATGTTGGTTTAGTGTTAAATATTTATAAACAAATTTAAATATGATTTTATATTACAATGTATTCTTTTTGTTTGCAAGCAAATGCCTCAATAACAATTATAATTACACACGAAATGTATTTTCATGTCCGACTGCATTTAATGGATGCCAGAAATTGCACAAAAATAAATGCAAAAATCAACATTTTACGCGGTAAATCCGACTAATGGAGGGAGCTCTCGTGGCCCATGGCCATGGGAGGGTTGCCAAATGGCGTGGCGTGGCGGGGCGTGGGGCGTATGTTAAACAAAATCAATTACAGATAATTTAACGTCAATGGAAGGACGGACGGCAAAGGGTGCCAAAGGTGGCAGGGGTTATAATAGAGTCATTTAAGTACAGTTTAAACATTAATACGAGGTGGAGTGGGGGCTAATTGCAGCGTCTAACACTCTTTGTGCTTGCTGGGTGCTGGGGGCAAGAAGGTGGGCGGCCATCGGATAAATCGATAATAAATGTGGCAGGACTCTGGACTCTGCTGAACACTGGCCGCCTGTCCGATTCCGTTTCACAAACAAAGCAGAAGCACACACACACGAAGGACACATAAAACACAGGACACACACAGGATACACAGAGGGGCATACATCACACATGGTGCAGAGGCAGCCGCCGTCGCCATCGTCGTCGCCGTTTGTTTGACTCGCGACCACACAACTGGGGAAATACAACTAAAAACTAGTCCGGCTCCTGGCAAACAAGGGGCAGCAAAAAAAAAAACAGGGTAAAGGGCATGCTAAAGTTGCCACACTTTTTGATCGCCTTCTGGCGCCGCTGCAGTTCTCTCTGGTCGCTGTTTGCCGGTGGTCTCTGGTCGACGGCCAACAAATTGCAGTGACATTTTCAACGCCAACTAATCAATATGGTCCGACACATGTGGCTCCAACTAGAGACGGGGTGGCAGGAGGTGTGGGAGACTCCTCTGGATGGCTGGCTGGCTGGCTGGCTAGCTGGACAAAGCGTAAGTGCTGGCCAAACAATTGCGGTTAATGCTCGCCCCCCTGGAACGAGCGTCCGATAGTTATGACTGATAAAATGCGGAATAATAAACCCAGTCAACCCAGAAGCATTTTTTTTCTATTTTCTTCTTCATTCATTTTGGTGCAACATTTTTTACAGTCGTCCCGTCCCACGCTCAACAGGCAACAAAGTCCAACTTTTAGACCCATAAATTCCCTTAGAATATATAAATCCGATTCAGAGATAGAGACACAGACGGAGCCTCTCATTGGTATGCCAGTGGCATGGAGGTCTGTGGAGGTTGCACATTATTTTATTACGCGCAATTGAACCCAAAGGACGTGGGCCTCTATAAAAAGGAAGACGGCAAGGAATCAACTTGAAGAAGGATACCCGGGCATTCTAATATTCATATATAATTTCATTTAATTGGCATTAAATCGACTCCGCCCTTTTGAGGGAGGAAGCGGCAAGTTGGAAGTGTCTGCCAGACAGACAGACAGATGGACAGCCACAAGGTTAACTGACAGTTAACTCCTGTATGTGGTAATTATATACATGTATGTATGTGGGAGTATATGGAATCAATATATATAATTATAAAATCTATTTGTAAATGGCATATCTATGAGCATACTTAGACACTAGCTTAAAGGACGCAAGACGTAAATATGGGTTTCAGTTGTCAGTAATCAAAAGAAATGGGCAGGGTTGTTAGGGGGGTCGTAAATCACTTAATTTAAGAACAACAACAACATAAAACTACAAGATCAATGTACAACACAAATTACAACAGCAAATGAAGCATGTAAGTATCTACAGTGGGACTGATGGAAGAGAGATTTCTATAAGAAATGTATCTACAGCAGCAGCAACAAAATTACAACAAATATGAATGGCAGGCAAAAGCTCAAGTTCCAGAGACAGAAATATAAAAGATATAGAAAGATACAGAGAGAGAGAGACAGAGAGAGTGAGGTAAGAGAGAGAGAGAGAGTAATTCTACTTCGTTTTTTTTTTTTTGATACGAAAATGACTGGCGGGAAAAACTCAAAGAGAGAGCAAGAGATCAGTTTTTTTTCTTAGTTGTTTTTTCTTTTCTTTTTTTTTTTAGTTTTTTTTATGGAATAGATTTTTTTTTTTAGTGAACACACAAACCTTTTTAGGAGAAGATAAGTGTAGTGAAGTTGGCGATGGCATAGAACAATCAGAAGATGCAGAACTGCAGCCGCTGCTGGCGCTGCTGCATCCCATGGCGGCACGGCCCAACGCCCCGCCCGCTGATGACGGCGACACTGATGGCGATGGCGATGCTCTTTGTAGTGGTGGTCCCGGGCCCAGCAACGAGAGCAAGGGCACGGATGCACCACCACAACCGGGGCCCATCAGTCCGCCGCCATAGCCGGGGCCAAGGCCAAGGCCGCCGCCCAAGATGGCAGCAGCCGCAGATGCAGACGGCTGCTTAGTAGTAGTGGTAGTAGTTCTAGTTACGGCTGATAGATTAACTGTATTATTTACATTGTTGGTCGGTGTGGTTGCTGCGGATGTGGGCGTGGCGGCCGTGGCAAACATGGCCGAGGCGGCCACTGCCGCTGCCCCAGCCGGTATGATCGTGAGCGGTGTGCTCGGTGCGGCAAAGAACTGTGGTGCTGCCGCCGCCGCCGCTCCAACCGGCGGACCCACAGCTGTGGTACCCGCTTGATGGTACTTGGTCGGCGTGGCCGGTGCAGCGGCCACACTCACATTGTTCACCTGCAGTTGCATGTACGTCTGCAGCATTGCCTGGGCTTGGGCTTGCGCCTGGGCTTGAGCTTGGGCCTGAGCTTGGTAGTGGAACTGCTGCTGGAGCTGTTGTTGATGCTGTGCCTGTGCCTGGGCTACTGCCACCTGCTGATGGAAGACGGCCGCCTGCTGCTGCTGCTGCTGCTGTTGCTGCTGTTGGTGGTGGTGGTGATGGTGTTGCTGTTGCTGCTGTTGATGCTGCTGGTGGACGGCAACTACGCTGGTCTGCATGGCCGGCGTGGGGTAGGCCTGATAGGTGGCTGCAGTCGCGGCTGCCGCCGGATGCTGCAGATGCGGATGTGGATGCGGATGCGTGGACGGCGGTGCGTGCAACAATTGCATTTGCTGTGCGTGGTGTGAAGGGTTTTTGCTCTATTCAGATTATTTGTGGTATTTTTTTTGGTAGTTTTGTTTTGGTATTTTTTGTGGCATTTGTTCTGATTTCAGTTGGGTTTTTGAATTGGCAAAAGCACAAAAATTTTTGGACTCGAAAACAATAAAATTTCATTTCTACAAAACTCAAAAAATGAACTGAAAATAATTTGTTCCTCTCACACATGTTTCAGTCAGTATTTTATAATTGTTTCTTTTCGGTATTTTCTGTGGTTTTTGGTGGCGCGAACGAGGTTGAAAGTTTCCTGAGATTTCTGTTAAAATTATAATGTATTTTTTTTTGGGGGGCGGTAACGACAGAAGGTAAGATAACGAGGGAGAGAGAGAGAGAGAGACTACAGGAAGTGATTCGAGTTTTGGCATTGGAGGAGAGAGAGAGAGAGAGCAGTGGATAAAGAGTTTAGCGAGCGCTACGAGTGGATAGATAAATCTACAATTGGAACAGTAGTAGAACAGTAGTGAGAGATAGATAGAAATAGAGATAGAGAATTCTTGAGAACCCTCATGGCCCTCTCACACGTTTCAAAAAGAAGTCGAGAAAGTTTAATGGGCTTTCAGCTTTCAGCATCGTTTAATTAGATTTTAATGTCAATGGCTTTGGCTTTGGCTTAGCAACAAAACTTAAAAGTAAACTATTTACAGAAAACAGACAGAAAGAGACAGAGAGAAAGATAGAAAAAATGGTGAGAAATGGAGAGATGGAAAGTTTGCAAAAAAAAAGATCATTAAACAAAGTTTTAACTAAAACTAGTTCTTGAACCACAAAAACCAATCCAAAGGCAAAGCTCCAGTATATGTTACAATATTTAAAACTTAAAATTAAAATCCAAACCATTGACATTATTTATATCTTTTGAAGAGAGAGCGACAGAGAGAGATTATAGCAAAGATCTCAGCAGAGAGAGAGAGATAGTTTTATTCAGAAATGTAACCAAAAAACAAAAGGTTAAGTATAGAGGAATATAGCAAGTAGTTTGGCTTTTTGCATAAACTGTACAATTCGGTATTATTCTTTTTGCATTTTGCAGTATTATCTTTATATATGGAGGATGGTTATATATTAGTAGTTATTATTCATAAACTGAATAATTCCATGTGGTATATGGCAGGGAGGGGCTGTATGGCATGGTATGGCAATAAGGACAAACTTAAAACGTTTTTGGCGTTTCTCAGAGATTGGTTTCGAAGGCAGTTTCCAATCGGTTTTGAATTCTGTTTTCAAAATTTCACTTTCAATTTTCTTTTTTTTTTGTTCCTTTCTTGTATTAATTTTGCGGTATTCTTTCGGATTTGTTTGGATTGATTTGATTTGGACGGCGCTTACCATGATTAAATCTTGTATAGGGGAGGACTCGGACTCGGCTGCTGAATCGGATGTGGCGATTTCGCTCTTTACCGTTAGCGGCGACACTGCTGTTGCTGCTGCTGGTGCGGTGGCAGATGCAGGCGCAGAGGCGACTCCAACTGCTGCTGGAGACGCTGATGGAGGAGCCACCGGCGGTGCGGTGGTTAAAGGTGTGTTGGAATTGGTATTGGCGGCGTTAACGGCTAGCGATGCTTGAGAGCTGCTGCTGATACTTAGCGCTGCAATCGCTGCTGACGCCGTGGTTTCTGTTAACGCGGCAATGATGACAGATTTTATTGGCAACAAATGTTGATTAAAATATTTCTTCTGCTGCTTCTGTTTTTCTTGTTTTTGTTTTATGGTTTTTTTTTGCACTTGTTTTTTCCTTTTCTTTTTGGTTGTTGTTTAATTAATTAATTTTCTTGGCCCGTTTCGTTTAGTGGTTTGATGATTTGTCGATTATTTGTATAGTTGTTTCTTTTGTTTGTTTTTTTTTTGGTAATTTCTTGAGGCTTTTGGGCAGGCTTTTGGGTTGTGACAGGAGGACTCTTTGCACAGGATGTATGGTGGTTGGTGTGTATGGATTGGATATGAGCTCTGTTTCTTGTTTGTTTTCTGTTTAGATATGATTAGATATATATATATATATTTTTCTTTTTGTTTTGTTTATAATATATTTTTTTTTTGTATGCCAATTGGTTTCCTTTTAAGCCTTACGCAAATTGTTGCTATGATTCGAGTAGAAGGTTCCCACACAGGACACACCAAAAAAAAAAGGATAAACCTAACAACTTTTGCTATGCATCTACTGTTTTTGATTGATTGTTGGGATTTTTTGAGCGTATCTTAAGCGTATGTATGTATCTGTACTGTATCTCTATATAAAATGTGTGGGTGTTCCTATATCCGTATATATCACTACTGGAGGAGGTTTCGATTATTTTTAAAAGTTTTAAGAGATGTATAAAGTTTTGAAAACCGTTTTTCGAAGATTGTTTAGATTGATTGTTCAGATTGATTGTTAGATTGATTGATTGATTGTTTGAGGGAGAGATTGTCGTAGTAAGTAGTTAAAAGGTTTTCGCACGAGGTTAGTTCGTTAGATTAGATTGTGCTAAAGCTAGCATAAAAGTTCTTTATAAATATCGTATCCTACAGATACAGTTGTAGAAGATGTATATAGATATAGATATATATATATATATAGATCATATATAATATATCTGATTTGATATATCTGATCTGATGTGTATATATGAAATACGCTAATTTCGTGTGATTGTCAAAACGCGTACTCTTGTCGATCGAGGCATTTGATTTGACCCGGCGATCCCTTTCCTTATAAAATAACCCCTATTAACCCTCTTAAATATGCTAGCAATTCTAGGAGACAAAAATCGTTTGATTTGTTTGATTGATTGATTGATCGGTACTATCTGTTTTGGAGTTTTCTGATTGACGCTGCTTGCTTATCGCTTACAAATTGACTGTCTGTTTTATCCTTTATTCACTTTGTCCCTTAGACACTTAATTACCAATTTTATATTTGATTGATTTTCGGGGAGGATTCTGTGTTGGGATTGTGGGGTGCTATTTATCGTAATATCAATATTTATTTAGCTATTTCTTTTGATTTCTACTTCCTCTGTTTGATTCTCCTCATCTTTTGCTTGCCGATTGCTTTTCTTTTCCTTTCGCTTTGTTTCTTTTGATGCTGATATGTCGCTATTTCGCTTCTTGTAAATACATCTATATACTTAATTTTCAATTCAACAACCTTTCCTGGGGGGTGGCTTTTCCTTTTTCCTTCTCCTTTCCACTCTTTTCTGTTTACCCTTTGACCTGCTTATCACCTTTTCCTAATTGATTTTCCCCTGCTCCTCTTTCAAATTACGCTCAAAATTAACAACCGAACATACAAGTATAAATATATATATATATGGATATATAAATTTATATAAAATTCACAATTATTTGTTTTTATTTGTGTATTTGATTTTCTTTCTTGTAAATATTTTTTTTTTTTTTTTTGCAAATTTTCAATTTTTATATATTTTTGTTTATTTAATGCGCCTTGTTTTTAAGGGAAATTCTTCTGATTCTAGCAACAATTTACCACTTTTTGTTTGCGTTTTGTTTCTTGTTTTGTGCCTTCTCTTTATTATATTTTTTCTTTCGTTTTTAGGTTCTGTTCTGTAATGCTTTTGATGGTGGGGTAGCGATGGGTCGTGTGGTCGGGAAGGGGACTTAAGGTTTTTAGAAAAATACCAAGAGATTCTTTTCGCTTTTGGGCCTTTTACTTTTTTTTTATTGCTGGTTTATTTGGCTGTTTGTCAGTTTCCTATTTTCTGTTTCTGTTTCTGGCCAAAGAAATGACAGAAATTTTTGGAAGTGTGATTATAATTTAATGCGAGGAAATATGTTTAAAATATAAATCAAATAAACTCCATTTCGAAATGAAAAGCTGTCCAAATTAATTTGATACAAATACCGAATATTTATGCATTTTATTTATGCTCTGAATTTTCAAGTGTTTTTTTCATTTACTTTTGCCAATTCAAAAAAACCCAAACTTTGAAAGCAAACAAATGACTGGGAAGGGGCGATAAACAAATCACGATTTAAGCGAACAAATAAAAACCAACAATTAAATAACGAACAATTATAAAACGCACAAAATAAGAAACAAAACACAAAACGGGAGACACAATGGGCATGAATATTTAATAATAATTTGCTCTTATTACCAATCGAGTGTCGAGTCAGAGAGTCGTTCAAGTAGGAGATGAAGTGATGGTTTTTTTTTTCTGTTTAGTTTTAGAGTTTTTGTTGCAGGTTTTTTATTATTTTCTTTTGTTGATTTTTTGCGAATTTTCGTATTATATTTTATTTGTTCGTTTATCTGTTATTGGAGATTTTTTTGTTGTTGTGGTTGTTGTTGTTGTGGCGGATCTTGTAATTATGGCTCTGGAACAAAAGCAAAACAAAAAAAATTGGAATATTTCGCGTTTTGGAATATTTTGTGCTCTTGCTTTCGTGTATATTTTTTTTGTTTTTATGTGTCTGTGCTTCAAGTGTTTTTGGGTGTTTTTTTTTTATTATTATTTTTCTTTGGTGGGGAATAAAACACGTTTTTTTCTTGGGTAAGAATTGAATGACCGACAGCAGAGCGCTCTGTCTCTTCTCTTTCTCTCTGATTAACACACGCACAAAATTTCTTTACCTTTACCGGTTTCTATTACTGTTGTTGCTGTTGTATTTGAGTCACACTTTTGTTGGCGAAAAGAATTAAACAACAAAAAAGAAGCAACTCCGGATGACAGCAGCAGCGTTGCCAAGCGGCCAGAAAGAAGAGTTTCGCCGTGCGAGAAATGCCGCGTGGGCTAAAATTTTTTCCCGCTCCTACACCCCCACCAAAAAGACCGTGGAGAGACGTGTAATTACAACAATAAAAATAAACTACGGGAATTATTTGGAAGCGTACTTAGAAGCCAAAGCCAAAAGAGCCAGCGACAAGTGGCCAAGAGAGTCAGTGGCTTTGGCTCTTGGCTCTTAGCTCTGACACTGTCTGAATGTGCGGCCTATTGGAACGTTGGGCCCATAAGGTTTTATGGCGTCGAGTTCTGGGCTCTGGGCACTGAAGGAAGAGACGCGCTACGTTTGCTCTTTTTTTTCGTTTTTGCCTGCTTTTTTTTTTGTATATTTTCGTTTTCTTTTTTGGGTTTTTGTTTCGTTTTCGTGTTTTGCTTCACGTTCTTTTCGTTCACAAGAAACGTGTTTCTTTGTTGGCCTGGCCTGTGAGTGGAGAAGAGGCGGCAGCCCTGGCCCTGGCCCTGTGTGTATTTTGCCGGCTATATGCTCATTCGGGCCTATTGCCCAGACCAACACCGAAAGAGAGAAATGTAGAGAGTGCGAGACAGAGAGAGAGAGAGAGGAGTGAGCGCTGTGGCATATAAGAATATGATGAGAATATAATTAATGGGGATCGGACTCAGAGAGAGAGAGAGAGAGAGTCTCGAGCAACGAACTTTTGCTTGGCAATTCTTTGGCTTTGGCTTTGTCTTTTATTATTCTTTTCTTTCTGCTTTATTTTATTGTTACTTTTTACTTTTCTTCTGCGTGTGTTGTGTGTGTGTGTGTTTTTTTTTTTTATTGTTAATTTCTGTGTGAGCACAAAATATTTCTTGTTGTTCTTTTTGTTTTTTTTTTTAATAATTTATTTGTTACTCATTTTGCTTACATTTGTTGTTGTGGTGTTGTGTAGAGCGAAAGGTGCGAGAATATACACTGAAGATTTCAGAGTTTTTTTTTTATGTTTTTGTGTCTTTAAAGTTTTGATTGGATTGGATCACACGCGCAAAAAAGTGAAAACTACTCCCCACAGCGAGAGAGGGAGAGAGAATGCGAGAGTTTCGAAGACCGGTAAGAGAAATGTTTTAATAATTGTTTAAATTGTTGGATTTTTATTCATGTGATTCTTTTAGCGCTTTAGCTTATTTATTTCTTTTTGATATTTTTTTATTTTATTTTAGGTTTGTACGGCTCGAGTTACGCGTTATGTTTCCGGGGGTTAACTTTGATGACTATTTCGATGGGGATGCTACTACTGACTGATCCGGATATCGACTGGGTGCTGGTCTTGGACTTGGAGTTTTGGATTTGGCGTGTGTGTCGGTCGGTGTCGGTCGGCGGCGGCGTCGTCGTCGTTCGTTATTTTCTTTTTATCATTATCCGCGTGCTGTGCTGTGCGATATACGTTGTTGCTGGTGTTGCGGCTGTTTTCGATTTGAACTCGACTTTGATTTGGATATTGAAATTTTCGTGAGTGAGTGGAGAGACTCCCGTGCGCCCGACTGTGTGTGTTTGTGTGTGAGAGTGGGTGCTGCTGCTGCTTGTGCTGCTGCTGCTGCTTCTGCTTCTGTTACTGTTGTTCTTGTCGTCGGCGGGCGGCGGCGGTGGTGGTGGTGGTGGTAGTAGAGATGATGATGGTGGCAGCGGCGGCAACGGTAGCGAAGAATGTGGATGTTGGTGGTTGGTTTGTGATGTTATGAATGTGAATGTGGTAGTGGTAGTGATGCGCTGGCTGCGACGACGACTGCGACTGCGACAGAGGAGGAGACACGGCTACGGCTACGGTTACGGCTACTACTCCGACTCCCGGCTACTGCTGCTACTGCTACTGCTGATGATGATAATGATGATGATGGTAGAGTGGCGGCGGTGGTGGCGGAACACAGACGAAGAAGCGACCGCTGCTGCTGCTGCTGCTGCTGCTGCTGCTACTGTGGTATGGTGTGCGACTTCTATAGAGAGCACAACGGGCCTGATGCTAGCGAGAGCGTACGAACGAACGAACGGCGGACAGAGTTGGAACGGGTTAAAGCAAAGACTGTACGAAGACTGAAGTAAGAACGACTGGCATTCTAAGGTAATATACCTTTTTGTTTCGGAGTCGTCCACGGCGCGACAGCGACATCAGCAGCAGCAGCGGCAGCAGCAGCGGCAGCAGGCAGCAGGCGTCGCTGCCTCCGTCAGATTGAATCTGTTGCGTCGACGTCGGCCGAGGTAGCGACAGCAACAGCGCAACAGCGGCAGCGACGCGTGTTAACCAAAATAAAGCAACAGTGGAAAGGCCCAGAGAACCGGACGACCGACAGACATCGACACCGACACCGACGCCGAACGACCAAAGAACCGACCAAACCGAGTCGTCGTCGTCATCGTCCGCCCCGAACCCACCAGGGGGATGTGCATGCTCGGGCAGTGGCGTCGGCTTCGACTTCGGCAGCATTTCTCCTGCGGGCAGCGACTCCGAAAAGCGGAGGAATGTTTTCGGAGCGGAGCAGCACGTATTACACTGCCCCTGCCTTTAGCTCTCACTCCCTCTCACACTCTCTATCTCTCTCTCTCACCTTTTTTGGCTCTCGCTCTCAGCTGTTGTTTGGTTACCTGCCGGTTTCTGATTTCTGTGCCTGTGTTGCCTCTTCTTTGATTCTTCTTCGCTCAATCCCTCTTTCCCTTTGAGCACATTCTTTGCTGGTTTTAGGCCTGGCTTGATCTTCGTCTCGTTCTCTCCGTTCTCTTTCTCAGGTGCGCGCAATTATCAATTGCCTTTCGCTCATTATTCTCATAATGTTCATGGATGAACGTGTTTCCAATAGCGCTGTTATACCGCCAAGCCATGCCACACACTCGTATAAGAACAGGTATAATTAAAAGTATATGTATAAGAGTATATAAGACAATCGAGGATCGTGGCCTGAGTGGGGGGATGCTGCCCTAGAGGATGCTTATGCTTTCACCTTCGTGCCAAATCACACGAGAGGACACACAACCTGTGCTGCTGCTGCTGCTACTCCTGCTGCTGTTGTAATGGCTATTGTTGCAGTAACATTACTGGCACACACACACACATGGAGATACACTCGGACACACACACACACACATAGGTGGGCCCCCAACCACCCATGTGAGATAGCAGATGCATGCGCCATGCGTGCGTGCCCCCCCCGCCATCAAACAACAGCAAAGGTGCGAGTGAGTCCGCTGCCCGCTAAGGGTGCACCAGAGCAAGAGAGAGAGAGCGAGAGCGAGCGTGAAAGAGAGAGAGAGTGCTATGAGGGGCTCACGAAGAGGGGGGCTCACAGGGTGGTGGAACAGAGCTAAAAAAGGCAAAACGACGACGTCGTCATCGCAGGCGGCAGACGGCAGGCGGCAGCGACAGCAGCGATGGCAAAATCAACGAGAAAATAATAATTGTTACACCTGCTTCGGAAATGCGCGCCAGGGGGGTGGAAATGGGGTGGCACACACACACACACAGAGGCAGAGACGAAACACACGACAAGGAACGAGCTTCGTCGGCTGCTTTCAGGTGAGCATCATCGTTTCGTTAGCACCCACCCACCACCAGCACCACCACCCCAAATAGAGGCGGTCGCAGCAGCAACAGCAGCAACAGCGGCAGAGGCAGCAGCACGCTGCCGAAATGCCGAAGCACGGAAAACGCACGAGCCACGAGCCACTGGCCACCGAGCACGAGGACAGCCGCCTGCTGACGAACGGCACTGGGCCGAGTGCCGATGGTCGATGCCGACCGACGGACGACACACAACACGAGACTCCGAATGCGGGCAGCGCGCATGACGCCAAGGTGCAAATTTGTGCGTAGGTATGCGAATGGCCATTGTCTGTGTGTGTGTGTGCGTGCAAGTGGGTGGCCCACCCACAACCCCTCACGGAGGGGTGTGTACTCTCAACAGCTGTAGCAGCATTTGTTGTTGTAAGGGGTAGATAAGGCAGATAAGGTCTCTGCCCCGTATGCTAAGAGGGGTAGCCACACACAGTCACTGTTAAGCGAAAGCTCCTTTCGGTTAGAGCTTTCTGTTACGACCCCAAACGACGAGGACATGGACATGGATGTGGATGTGGAACGAGCAACAGTTAAGACATTATCAACTTGTTGTTCCGCTAGGACTTGATGAGCTCCATCATCAACTACAGTACTCCCAGAACTCATAGCCCAGTACCCAGAACCCCCAGAACTTGTGTCGTCAAAGTTCGCTCAAAGCTTTAATTGAACTAATCAAATGGGAATAAACATGCTAATGAAACTTTGACGGTCGCCTTGCGGCTCGCGGAGCTTGCACCAAGAATTACTCTTGGGTGGATTTTTATTGCAATCAAGCTGGGAATATGAGTGGGAACCATTTATGATTTATGATTTAGTTTCCTTTGGAAATAAACATAGGTACATCATCTTTTTGGCAAAATGTTTTCTAGTTCGTTTCATAATCATTTAATATAGGAGAGGAAAATACGAGACCAAGGAGAATTTCACTGCTGGACAATCAGCTACAGTACATATTAGAACTCTTAAAAATTCGAATTGTCCAGAAATGGGAACTGGCTATTTTCATTTATTTCACTAAAGGTAGAAATAAAAATTTAAAATTAATAAATAATATATTTTTATTAATAATCTGGAAAAAAAATGTCTTGTAACTTTTCAAAAACTAGAAAAACCCGAGGAACAAAGTGGTTCTAATTTGTGAGATTCTACTAAAGTATTTTTTCAAAAAAAAAAAAAAACTTTGACTTGCCACAAACCTAATAATACATAGATAATATTTCCGATAATATTTCCGATAATATTTCCGATAATATTTCCAAAATGAAACCAAAATAAAGCACCTCTGTCATTTAACCAAGCAGAGCGGATATAAGCATGGATACAATTTGCTCCAAAAATCGAAATGCGCCTATCGTTTCTATTAATTTTGCCCCTGACTGTGCATTATGTGTACAAAGCTTCAAAATATATAACCAAAAACCTGGCTCTTCATTAAGCCCGCAGTGCTCGCAGTTTGTGAGTAAATTCAATCAAGAAATACAATATTCTGCTATTAATAAATAAAAAAGGCAGACATAGTACAAATGTATAGAAAGAAACCCAGTACCGGCTATCGTAAAGTCCTAGCACTTGTACCCCTACTGTTTTCTGTTCGACTGCCTTTTAATAGTATCTTTTAATTATAAAATGCCAAAATCCCTCTTTATAAACAAAAAAGGAATATTGTTTCGCCTTCCAGTTAGTTGATAAATATTTGGGTTACATTTTTGGAGGATATCCTCCACTTAAAATTAAAGCTCTCAATCAAGATTGACAGCCACTCACTCACATGAAGGAAAATCCCTTAATGCACTTCACCATGCAAATCGGTTAGTGAGCAGGGGGAGGGCAGGCCATGAGTTTTTCACTAATAAAAATAAATTTCATTTAGCGGCAATTTCTGTTTTTCCTGCTGTTGTGTGTGTTTTTAAGAACCTTTATCCCAAAGTTTAGTCCGTAAACCGTAAGGTACGGCATGGTTTTAGCTTTGTCAGCTCCCCCCGCCACGCTTCACCATCCACTTATTTTAGTAGCATTAAAACCATAGCGAATGACAGAGAGGGAGAGAGAGGGAGCGAGAGCGATAGCCAATGTCTGTGCATAAAAATCGCTTTGTTATTGTTGCATCAACATGGGAGGATGAGAGCTTCAGAGCTTCAGAGCTATAGCATCGTCATCGATGACGCCGACGAGCTGTTGTAGTTGTAAACGGTTTATGGGATTTACGCGCAATTTGTTGGCATTTTTCATGGGGGGAAAGCTGTACAGTACAGTACTGTTAGGGGGCTGGGGGAGGAGGCACACAGGGATCGTGGGGCATATAAAACAATATGCGCTCCATGTAGCCCCAGCACCATCCCAACCAATCTAAGCCAGGCTCGTTAAATGATTTTCCGTTTGTTCTCTCGGCTCTCTGCTCTGTCTATGGCTTTGTTTTTGGTAGTGGAAACAACAACAACAACAACAGCAACATAAAAGAAATGTAAAACGCAGCTTACCTGCAAAGAGCATAAAAAAACAAAGAGCAGGGGGTGGGGCAGGGGGGGAGGTAGATATTTCAAGCACAAATATTGATTAAGCTGTAAAAAAAAAATGTTGGCCAAAAATGACCATACATATAAAACTCGGTTCAATTGGCTGTACAATCTGATAATTCCCGAAACGAGATGGATGGGTGGTGCCGGGGAGGGAAGGGAAGGGTTCCAAATACTGGATGGCAACAATGTTGCAAGCAACAAGTTGCCCAAGTACAGCCCCACAACACAAGCAAGTAAACAGAATGCAGTTTTCATGCCACTCCAGACACAGACAGAAAAAGTACCTACCTACCTACATATATACGTATATATAAATAAACATATGTACATATGCATCTATAAGTACATATATATGTATATAAGTTTTGTATCTTTATGTGCATGTGCGCATAATTTTGCCAGCCAAGTGAGGCAGAGTGTGGGCCAGCAACAGCAACGGCGGCAGGCGGCAGTTAGTCGAACGGCTCAGGCATGCAACAGGCAATGAATCTCAATCTCGGCTACGTTGTCGCTGGCTCTGAACCTGGACCCACTAGTAGAAGAAGAACCCAACAACATTCAGACAGCGGAGGCCACAGAGCTCAGAGCCAGAGCCCGAGCCACTGCTTGGTGCCCGGTCCAACCCCCCAGCTCAACTCTCAGTGCCGTTGACTTTGGCAATTCAAGTGCAACAAGCAAACCCCGCCATGGAGCCGCAGACGACATTCAACTTCAACTTGCAATGTTTTTTAGGAGAGAAATATGCGGTAACAGCATTTACTAGTCGCAGACGCGAGTCCGAGTCCAAGTCCAAGT